GGTGGCTGCTGCTCTGGAGAGGCGCTGCGGGGCGCGCCGGGTGTGGAGCGCGCTGAGGTAGTTTCGGGGTGTCCGGGCCAAGCCTCTTCCCCTCAGCCTTTGGGCAGCCCGCGGCCGGCTTGGTGGCATCGGGCTCCGGCGTCCGGGGGGAGGGTCCGGCGCGGAGAGGTCCCCCGAGGAGTTTGGGGGGACTGCAGGGGCCTGCTCTGCCCTCGGGTCTTTAAAGTTTTGTCTCCCGCTTGCCTTCCCCTGCCCCGGGGGCTGCTCTTGGCGGCTCCCCGCGGCCCCTCCGCCGCTGCCTTGCTCCTCGCAGCTCCCCGGAAGGACTGGGCAGAGTCGGCGGACGCCCGCCCGCCCGCGCGCTCCCTCGGGCTGGATGCTGCTGGGTTTTCTTCTGCACCCGGACATTTAAACCGGACTCAATACGAGCGATCTGTGCAATTTCCATTTTGGGTTCGGGTGGGTTCTCGGCAGTTTTCTCAGTCAAGAGGCATCTTACTACCTCTGGTGTGAGTGAGGGCTGGGCAGTGGCGAGTAAGAAGTTAGGGGATTGAATTTTGGATTTGGTCGTGTTGATTTTTTTTTTTTTTTTACCGATTATTAGTTTTTGTCTTTCTTATCGCCGGTTTTATTTGGTTAATTGATTCAATTTGTAATCATTTAAATGGCTTGCATATGCCTTAAAAACAAGCCATGAGTCGTTGGAGGAAGCGTAGTTGCTTGCTAGGTAGTTTGAGAGCATCGAGGGTGGAGAATTGAACCAGAAGAGCAGTTGTGAGGCACAGGGCATCTTGCATCTCACTAGTGAGTGGTTCAGCATTCGCATGGAATGACACGGAAGGTAGGAGATTCTCTCCAAGTTGAAACTTTTTCCCCCCAAATACGAAGAGTTTTTTACAGTTCTCGAGCAAGCGCTTCAAAGCCAACCTGTTTTTGTTATTAAGCTTGTACCTTAAAGAAACAGGAAGGCGAGTACCAGCTGTCTTGCTGCAGTGGTTTTAGCTAGAGTTGAGTGAGATGAGTGAGAGTGGTAGTGTTGAGTAAGATTGCTTTATCTCCTTTATTTTAATGGTTGCCCTCAGATCCAACTAACTGATCTGGCTGCAAGAAAGCTTCAGTATTTGTTGCGGCAGGTTGTTTAAAAGACGACTGGGGTAAGGGTGGAGGAAATCATAGATCTTAAGAGAATGCTGCAAAAACTGAATGGAAGCCTATTAGTTTGTGAACTGTTTTTTAAAAAAATTTCAAATGGCACAATCGGGCATGGCGGTGCATGCCTGTAATCCATACACTCCGGAGGCTGAGAAAGGAGCATGGTAGGGAGTTCAAGGCCAGCCTGGGCTACTTAGTTTAAAACCAGCCTGAATTGCATAGTGAAACCCCGTCTCAAAATTTTTTAAAATAAAAAATTACTGTTTGATTTTTTAGACTAGGTTTTGCATGTGATAACCCAACAGCAAAGGTACAAAACATTGAAAAATGAGTCTCTTCCTTTTAAACCCTCCAATTCCTCTCGGAGGCAGTGACTAGTAGCATTTTCTAGAATACCTTTCATTTTTGGTCTAAAGATTTTCGTTTGAAACACACTCCTGTAGGATATCTTATGCAGGAAAATAACAGGAAAAAGGTGAAATGTGGAAATAATTGTTTTCTTTATATAATCTTTAAAAAATGTTGGTAACATTAAAAAGGCTCTTGTGAGTTTACTGGTTATGTTGCTTTATATACTAGTGCTCTTACAGAAATGATAATTTGTGGTTCTGTAGGATAAAGAGCACTGCTAGGGTTCATTGTATGTAAGATGAAGCCTCTGTAACATGTAAAGTGATAGCACTATACCTCTTGTCACTGGAGGTTGCTTCAGGTTCTGCATTTAAATGAGTAATAATCTAAATTGCCTGTGATCCTAAACTGTAGGGTATTTTATATATTGATAGGAATGACTTAATTGCCTCCTCAGCTTAAAAAAACAAAAAAAACAAACCAAAAACCAAAGGGGCCTATGCCAGCTTTTGGCTTTTTTTTTTTTTTTTTTTTTTTTTTTTTTTTTTTGAGACGGTGTCTGGAAGTTCATGCTGACCTTGAACTGACCATTTAGCCCAGACTGGCCTGGAACTTTAGCAGAGATCTTTCTGCCTCAGCCTCCCAAGTGCTGGAATTACCGGTGTGGGCCACCAGAAGTACATTTTGGAGTTAGGGATTGTAGAGTAAGTGGAAGGCTGTCATTGTTTTTAGAGCGGTTAGAAAAAATATTTCTACCAGAAAATGCCCCAGAGGATTTGGAAATACAAATTTAAGTATAATTACAGTTATAGATAGGTAAGTTAGAGGCTGGGGATGTAGCTCAATGGTTTCACCTCCTGCCTCACAAGCACAAGGACCCGAGGTTCGATTCCCAGTATCCCCCCCCCAAAAAAAAAATCCCCCCCCTTGAAGAGCCAACATGAAAGATTTCTATTTTAAGTTTTCAAATTTTTTGGGGGTAGGTGGGAGATGATAAAGGGCTTTGTGCATTCTAGGTAAGCAATCTGTCGCTGAGCTGGATTCTCATTCCTTTTTAGCTTTTGAGACAGGCTCTTGCTTGAGTTACTACAGCTGGCCTTAAATTTGTTATCCTCTTGCCTCAACTTCCCAAGTAGCTCAGATCCCATGCACCTGACAAAAATAGTTTTAAAAATTTACTGTTTGTTAAAGAAATGATATACAAACTATAGATTATTAGAGATTATATGAAATGTAATATGTATTTATAGCAATAGGGATATTTATGGTAACATTTATGTATATATTTTATATATATATAGATAGATAGATACATACATACATACATACTTTTTTTTTTTTTTTTGCTACTGGGGATAGAACTCAGGACCTTGTGCTTGCCAGACATGCAAGGGGCCACAGAATTCAATCCCCAGCCCCATATGTAATAGATATTTAAAGGATATATTTTAATAGATTTACATCTTAGGTACTGGGGTTTGAACCCAGAGACTCAAATGCCAAGCATGTGCTGTATGTACCATTGGACTACACCCACAGTCAGCTTTTATATACACGTATGTATATTAGATACTGGGGATTGAATTCAGGGACTTTGCACTCAGCTATATCCTCAGCCCTTTTTATTTTTTGAGACAAGATCTTGCTAGGTTGCCCAGGTGAAACTCAAACTTCTGATCTTCATGCTTCGTCCTCCCTCACTGGTGGGATTACAGGTGTGTGCCTCCATGCTGGGCTAATTTTGCTATCTTTTGAAAGTGCTTATACTGAGTTTTTCTCATATAAAAATTATGTCTGTAAAGCACCCTCACATTCAAAGCCAATACAAATTCATTGAATAAGGAGCGAATGTACTGTTGAACCTTGGACCCTTTTTCTAGAACAGTGGCAGTGAACCTATGGCATGAGTGCTGCAGCTAGCGTGTCTGTCGCTATGTGACGGAAGTTGCGCCTGCAGCCAAGCATTGGATAACAGTTGTTTTTTTCTAAACCAAAACCTCAGTATTCAGGTTTAATTGCAGTATTGGTACTTTGTGATAAATAAATGGGTTCTGGGTTGTAGTTTGGGCACTTGGTCTCTAAAAGGCTTGCTATCACTAGTCTGGGAAGTGTGTAAATAAAAAGTTCTTGAATGCTTTCTGTTTTTTTTTTTTTTTGAGACAGGGTCTCACTGTGTAGTTGTGACTGACCTGGAACTCACTGCGTAGTCCAGGCTGGTCTCGAACTCACAGTGATCCTCCTATCTCAGCCTCACAAATGCTGGGATTACAGGCGTGTGCCACCATGCCCGGCTTTGAAATGAATGCTTTCTAATGCCTTGAGGACTGGTCTTTTGAATTAAATGTGGTGTATTCCTGTAATCCCAGCACTCTGGGAAGCTAAGGCTGAAGGATGGAAGGTTCAAGTCCAGCCTGGGCAGTTTAGGGATTTATTCATTTATTTTTTTGGTACCAGGGATTAAACTCAGGACCTTGCACTTGCAAGGCAGGTAAGGTGTCACTGAGCTAAATTCCTGGCCTGAAAGATGTTCTCAAATGACTACTTTCATCATATTAGAATTTTGCTAATAGTCAGCATTGTGGCACATGTCTCTAATCCTAGCATTTGGGAGGCTGAGGCAGGAAGACCAAGGCTGCCCAGGGCTACCTGGTGAGTTCAAGGCCAGCCTGAACTAGGTAGGTAGACTTTGTCTGAAAAAGCAAAAACAAAACAACAACAACAACAAACCCACAAAAAAAGGCTGGGGATATGTAGTTCAGTGTGAAGGCCCTGGGTTCGTTCAATCAATCCCCAGTCCTGCAAAAATCTTTTAGTTTGGACAGTAAGGTAAGAAGAAAGAAAACTTACCATCTACTGTTCTATTCTTAATTGATTGTTAACACAGTGACTTTAGGGCTCCTTCCTATTTTTTTGAGAAAAGATCTCTATGTAGTTTAGTCTGGTCTTGAACTCACTGTGTAGTCTAGGCTGGCCTCCCAATTTGCAGAGCTCTTCCTGCCTCAGCCTTCAAGAGCTGGAATTATATTTATTTAGTCTAAATTTCAAACCTTGGGCTCGCGAATGGAGAATTTTATTTTTTTTTTTTTGGTACTGAGGCATGTGCTGTGCCACAGAGCTTAATCCCTGGCCTGAGAGTACTGTTTTTTTGTATGGGGATCGCACTCGGGACCTTGTGCTTGCCAGGCAGGTGGCAGAACCACTGAGCTAAATCCCCCTGCCCACCAAGAGTACTTTTATTATTTTTTTTGGAGAGTACTTTTAAAAACTTTTAATTTATTGCTAGTTGAGATTGAGTTCAGTATATCCTCTTGTGATTGTCTACATTGCAAACGACTATAATTTATTTAGTTGTTACTCTTAATGCTTCCTCGGACTAGAAGAATAAGAGTTGTTGCTCCGGTTTGAAAAAGTACTGTAGTCATACATTAAACCAACGTGTACTAGTTTGGTTTGAATTTACTATGTCCATCCCATATTGTAAAATAATTTATTTTGGTACTGGGGATTGAATTCAGGACCTTGTGCTTGCCAGGCAGGTATGGTGCCACTGAGCT